AAGAAACTATGAATGTTCAGAGAGCAGCTTAACCATTACCTCCTAACTCCTGACTGGTGTGAAAGGTCCTGCATTTTTGTAGTTTTTCTTTTTATGCTTCAATATTTCCTCGCCTTTTGTGTCTAAGGGAGTATGTTGGTAAAACCTAAGCGGCAACTTAACTTCAGGGCTCAGGCAGTGTTTTTGTGAGAGAGGCTGATATACATTTGTTGTACTCCTTCGTTGCTCTTTTGGTATTTTCTTTTTCATCTGCAGTATTCTTTTGAAGCTCTGCTGTTTTTATTTCTTGTGTATACCTGTTATTTACAGTGAATTCTAATATCTTACCCAGTCGGGACATCTGCATAATTTAGCTATATTGTTTTTTTTGTATGCACACGTACCTACTCTGCTCAGAATCGCACATTGAAAGACTGTCTGCACCCCTGAATGTGAATTTTCTAGTAAAAAAAAATTGTACAGGGGTCTTAGTTTTTCAAATTATTTTTAAAAAAAAGCGTGGACAGTTTGTCTTATTAATTGGATTGTTTGATTGTTTCGTATCGGACGGAATACAGTTAAGTGGCTTCACCGATGCTCCTTGGTTCTGCCCTTGTTGACTATGACGTGTTTAATTTGAACTTGCCCAGGTCGTAGGTGATCGCCCCAAAGGAGGTAACGTACCATTCCACATTTCAAGTCAGTCTCCTTTGCAAAAAAAAATTATTTTTTACCTTTTTTTTACTCCCCCCCCCTCCCCCGTTTCAATTGTTAATTTCTATTTTATCTTTCACAACCAACCCCTTTATTTCTGTGGAGTTTAGCTTTTTCTCAAGTTTTTTACTGTTAACTTTAATTTTTTTAAATAATATTTTTCTAGCTTTGTGTTAGGGACCAACTTCCATTTTCTTTAATAGCGCACCTTCTATGATTTCGAATTCAGTTAATTTAAGCAAATCTTATCTCTTGAGAAGGGTAGAACTTCCTCTAGTTTTCCATCGGGAATATTGCATTAATTACTAAAAATCAGTCAAATTTTTCATCATGTATATACCTACAGACACCTAACTAGACGTACCTAGATAAGCTCTGACGCTTTTTTCTTTTCAAAAAGTCCTCTCTTGATCCCACAGTAGTTCTATTGTCACACTAGCTGCAGAAATTTTTGCCCATAATTTTTTCTGAAAAAACCAACAGGCATGATTTAAAAGCACCTTCTTCATCCCTTGCTACGGTTTCCCTAACACTTTTTCACAAATTAAATTTGTACCTCACAGAATTGATGAAGACTGGGACTGACCAGGAAAGAGCCGTATGCAAAAACGACATTTTTCGCCCCCCCACTAAAACTTATTCAAACTTCGTCTATCAGTTACTAATACTGGAGCGCTTCTTTCCCCAAATTTTCAGACCCCCAAAAAATTTTGGGGGGCGCTAGGGGGGGTGGAAGTCAAAACCTGTGACCCTCGATATCTTTCGAACGAAACAAGATATTGAGGCCCGGTTTGGACGAAAAATCGTCAAAAATTGCATACTTTAAGATTCTAAAGGTCAAAATCCCAAAATTAAATTTTTAACTTAACTTATGTGCTTTTTTTCAGTTTTTGAGGAAAAACAATTTTTTTTAAACAGATTAAACTGAAATTTCACATTTTTTGATTTAAACCAAAACCAGTTTTTTAAATTTTTCGTCTTTTTCCGCATCCAACGAGTGGTCGTATAAGCTGGGGAACCGAACGGTTCCGGAGTTATGATCGATTGAAGTTTCCGCTCAACGCGCGCCGACCGATTTTCGCGCGCAAAAAAGTCGGATTTGACTATTATTAAATCAGATTTAATGTTCAAACTGAGCAAAATGCATTATTAGGGACCCTTGAGGGTTGCTGAATCCAGGAATTACAGATACTTCCAAAAAATTCACGTTTTTAAAATTACAGCTCCGGACAGGACCACTGAGCGGCCGGTCGGCGCTCAGTGGGCCTCTAAAATAGCGCTACGGAGCTGTAATTTTAAAAACGTGAATTTTTTGGAAGTATCTGTACTTTCTGCACTCAGCGACCCTCAAGAGTCCCTAATAATGCATTTTGCTCAGTTTGAACATTAAATCTGATTTAATAATAGTCAAATCCGACTTTTTTGCGCGCGAAAATCGGTCGGCGCGAGTTGAGCGGAAACTTCAATCGATCATAACTCCGGAACCGTTCGGTTCCCCAGCTTATACGACCACTCGTTGGATGCGGAAAAAGACGAAAAATTTAAAAAACTGGTTTTGGTTTAAATCAAAAAATGTGAAATTTCAGTTTAATCTGTTTAAAAAAAATTGTTTTTCCTCAAAAACTGAAAAAAAGCACATAAGTTAAGTTAAAAATTTAATTTTGGGATTTTGACCTTTAGAATCTTAAAGTATGCAATTTTTGACGATTTTTCGTCCAAACCGGGCCTCAATATCTTGTTTCGTTCGAAAGATATCGAGGGTCACAGGTTTTGACTTCCACCCCCCCTAGCGCCCCCCAAAATTTTTTGGGGGTCTGAAAATTTGGGGAAAGAAGCGCTCCAGTATTAGTAACTGATAGACGAAGTTTGAATAAGTTTTAGTGGGGGGGCGAAAAATGTCGTTTTTGCATACGGCTCTTTTTTTTTTTACTTATTTTAAATACAATCTTTTTCAATAATCTAACTTTATTACCTACTTGCTCTACTCAAAAAACCCCCCAAAAGAAGTGAAGTATTATTCTTGTGGAAAACTATTGTTGTTCGCTCATTAGTAAATAAAAATAATCCTCCCCTCGGAAAAGAATGCAATGAAAAAATCTCTGTCTGTTGTCATCGTAATATCTGAAATTTTCATGTTTGAGGTGCGCAATTAAAGTACACTTGGAACCAATCGTGTAATTTTTTGTATACCTATTATTATTCATATTGTCATAATTCATTAATTTTCTTTTTTCTTCCATATTTTTATTTGCATCTTTCGCGAGAAAGAGCTGAACTTTCACTGAAAATTATAGTCCATTACTTTTGATAAAATCTCATTGGTATCTTTCCATTTATCTGTTTAATCCTTCTAATTAATATTTTAAAGAAACTCTATTTGCATTATTTTTGCATCGAAATTTCAAGTGATGCTTTGTGCTTCTCATGAGCATTTTTAAGGATAGAAAAAATTTGAATGAGAAAAAGTAGCCCACAATCCAGATACAAGTGTTTTTTAAGCGAAGTATGACAAAACATCAATCCAAAAATCGATAACATTAACGAAGATCCTCTGTTGAATAGTTTTGTTATTGTTCCTTAAATTTTTAAAGCTCTGAGGCATTTTCTACTCCCTATTTTCATTTTCTCTGTTTAAAGCTTGTAAATGTAGGTGTGAATCAAGACAATAGTCATTCATATTAACGCATAAGCATGTAAGCCATGCAAGCATACGCTCACATGGTAGTTTCTTCTGTTTAGCTTCAAGAAAAACAAGCAACTGAAATTAAAATCACAATGACTCAGCAAAATTCTTGTATCAATTGATCTGTGAATATAAATTCTTACCGCATAGTAAGCATAGTAGTACCCTAGGTTAATGGAAAGGAAATAGGTTCATTTTCTTGTTTCGCCTATCAATTGAAAATCGTAGGAGACTGACTTGACCAAAATTATGACTTCATTGTGTAGTATTAAGTGCGCTTTTTTTTTAACTCGCGCGTTTTTGCTTTTATTCTTATTTGCGGCGCGTAATTGCAGAAATTTATGTGCTCATAAATTTTATCAAGGGCAATTTGTGTATTATCTTCATGCCATTCGTATAATTAAAATTGCAGCCAATCGTCTCGGTTTTGATCCATATTTTTTACTAATCGAAGTAAATTGAAGATCAAACCTGAGAAATTTCTTCTGATTTTTAACCCTTGAAATGTGTTTGGATATAAAAAAGGGAAAAATGAGGCTTCCAAGTCAAAGTTTGTTCAATTTTAATCCTCCCAAATTCTTCTCTGCTCAGCTTTTTCATCTTTCTTCTTCTATTTTCTACTTTTCTCTACTCAATGGATTGTCTTAAACAACTGTGGTTTTATTATTTTGCTCTCAGGATGGGTCAGACATATTGTGGTACAGTGTATCTGATACTTGTTGAGTCGAATGTTTTTGTCGTAACAGATGTGGGGACTTTATTATTTCCTCCCTGTATTTTGTTTCTTTTCACGTTCTAATGACATGTGGGAGTCCTATCACAACAAAGATGAACTTGTAGGGACGTTGAGTCCCTTTTTTCGTGAAAATTCTGAAAACTTCAAATGTAGAAACTCAGTTCTATTTTCTGGGTAAGTTAGAATTTTAATCTTAGTCCTACATCTACAAATTAGCGCTTAAAAGAAAATTGTCTAATGAAAGAGTGTGTTAACTCCTGTTTAATTGGTCGATATAAGGACTGTTTGAGACAGATGTTTCACATTTTTCTTTTGATTTCATTTGATCATAGTCTTTTATTAAATGCAAGAAGAGAACGCCCACCCCGTGAAAACGATCAGTTTGGTAGTCACTATGGTAGTATAAATTTTTCCCAAAGAGCATATTTTTCTGCGCTCTTAATTGCCAATTTTCTCCCAATTTTCAATGGTCTTCAACTTTATCCATCCCTTTCTTAGGTTCTGCAGTGGTTTTTAAGCCTACAATAACAGATTGTCTTAATTTTTTAAGCTGTCATTTATGCCCTCTTTCTTTTGCAGAGAGCACTTTTCCTTTTTCGTATCCAACATCATGGCTGAAGATCAGCAAGTAAATTGCTGCTGCACGAGAAAATAAAATTGAGAGAAAATGAAGTGTAATACTCTCCTGCCTGGAGGATCATTGAATGTGAAAAAATTGAGTAAATTTATTGCAGAGGAAGCACTGTGAAATCTTGCGCGAATTTGCGGCTTGCGGAGCGTTTTGGAAAAATTGATGCTGCGCGCTTTTTGTGAATGTTTGTCTCTTTCTAACGGGTCTTTTTGAATTTTCCCCCTCCCCTCTCCTTTCCCTCCTCTCCCTTTTTCTAGGCTTGTTATTTGAAAGCAATCGAAACTAGACCGGACTTCGCCGTTGCTTGGAGTAATCTGGGCTGTGTGTTCAACGCTCAAGGAGAAATTTGGCTCGCCATTCATCATTTTGAAAAGGCTGTAGCTTTAGACCCGAATTTCTTGGACGCGTACATCAACTTGGGAAACGTTTTGAAGGAAGCGAGAATCTTCGATCGGTAAGTCCATGGAAATTATTTATCTCAGCTTACTCATTTACAGCCACCATCTTGGATTTTCGACTTTTGAAGATTTCAGTTAAAATTCAAGGTTGCCGTTAAAAAATGTCATTTCCCGTGTAGCATTTTTTAACGAAAAAATCGCGATTTTTTTAACTTAATTTGCGATTTTTGTAGGATTTTTTGGCGATAAAGTCGCTTATAGGATCATTAACATCTAAACGGTTATCCTCGATCTTGTCGCAATTTAAATCTCTACAAAATCGCGTTCAATAAAATCGAAATTTTAACCCAATTTATCACACTTTACTTGTATTTTTTTTCAATTTACTTCGTGTTTGATACTATTGCGATTAATCGCCGTCGATAAAATCCCAATATAATTCCAAATTCATACGATAAAACCGCAATTTATCGCGATTTTTTATCCGATAATATTGCAATAAATAGACGTCAATAAAATCGCGTTACATTCCGCGATCAAATCCCAACTTATCGTATCGTGATCACTGCTATTTAGGATCTTTGATTTTTGAATTTTGAAAATTTGAGCTGAAATTCAAGTCTTCCGTTAACAAATGCCTTCTGGTACCAAGTTTCACAAAAATCGATCGAGTAGGAGCCCATTCGTAGGATCTGTGGGACCTGCGCAGTGCTGAACGATACCAGTACCAGTCAATTTACGTACGTTAGTGCGCCTTCATTTTCGTTTGATACTGTGCAACACTTCTGTGGCGGAATAGTTGCTCAGAGCGCCTTCAACTGTGTTGCTGCGACTTGATGGCGAAAGATGAAGGTTACCGCTGAGATTGCCCTCTTGCGCGTGCGCAGTTGCGCATTTTCTCACCTCCGACGGTGAAATGAAAACACTCATTCCTCAATTTGCGACGTTGCGAGTTTTCCACCGTCGATTTTATCCGGGTAAACCAACCTGATCCATTTGAACTCCGCTGTGACTTTTCCAATGTGAGATGAGAAATTTTACCTTTATGTTTTTTTTTTCAAGTCTTTTTGTACGCTTTTGTTAAAAAGGAGGAAAGAAGTATAAGAAGAATCTTCGAACGTTTTTCACACGCCGAGAAATCAATTTTTGTCACTACTTTCACAAAATTTTGATCCATAAAATGAGAAAGTAAAACGGAATATGGTAGTTATCAGTCTGTTTTCTCCCAATTGATTGTGCTCTTCATTGGTAGGTACTGCCGTATTACCGTAGCGGAGGGAGCTGTAACGCCCCAATTTTTGGAATCAAGCTTTTCAAAAAATTCGACTAATAATAAAAGCCAAAATCCAAAAATCCTCCGCAACATCAAAAGAAAAATATTCACACGTTTTTCTGGAAATCCGTGTTTTATCCGAGGAGATTCGGCAACGCCGGAAGGCTCATACGGCGCACGGTGGATCGAGTCAATGGCGGAGGTCGGACAAAATTTAGAAACTTTAAACGCTTATAACTCCGTTTATCCGAAATTTTGAGACTCTAAGAGTGGTTTCATTGGTTTCCTCGTAAAATTTGCTTCTGAAAGCACCCCTTGAAACTTAAAATGCGATGAAATAAACATCAAAATTTGCAGTTTCAGTAAAAAATTTCATGTCCGACCTCTCTGATTGACTCGAACCATTGTGCGGCGTTCTTCCTCCGCGCGGCAGTAATCGAGACCCGAAACGATTTTAATGACGTGTTAATCACGTAATCGCCGCTATATTTAACCCGACGCGGCACCGCAGTGAGGGCGGGGCCCGGGGTGGAGGGGGGCGGGGTCCGCGGTGGCAGGTGCCGTGAATTTTTCAGAGCCAACTCGCCCCAAGGCCAAGCTCAAGTGTACATGCTTTGCTTTTCTTCGCAACCCCCCCCCCCCCCCCCCCCCCCCCCCNCGCCTTTCGGGCGCTGCCGGAGCCTTTGAGGGCGGAAAATTGGCCCCGCGCCGCGCTGCGCGCCCCTTCCGGTTTGATTTTTGATGACCGTCTCAACAAATCTGCCGTGTTTTAGCGAGTTCATTGTTGGTTTCGATAAACAAAGCTACAGACGAAAAAGATATGGGGAGTACACGCGGGTTTACGCGGGGTTACGCGGGGAAATTTCCGAAAAATATGAAAAATATTGAAAAATATTTTCGAAATTAAATGCAAAATTAAATGAAAGGCACCTGGTTTTTGCTTTTTGGTTTTTTTTAGTGCGTGTTGCATACCCAGCCCCTGTAAGTATGTTTCATATTGGTCAAAATTTTGTGAAATTTCATGAAATATTTCACGGAAATTTTTATATTTCATGTTTTTCATTTCACCCGTTCAACCGTGTAGTGACACGCTTGGTTTCCTCTACCTCGCTTTTATCCGATTTTCACGTTGAGTAACCAGTGCAAAGGCAAATGGCTTGGTCAGTGTCTCATTGATTGAAGGAAGCATGAGGGAAGAAACCAAAGGGTGTCGCCACCGCGGTGGAAGATTTCTCTAGCCCCTTGCAATCCTGTACAGGGATGGTGGTATTGGTGGTGCGGGCACATAGGGATTTGAGCGGGGGCATGACGTGGAGCCAGGGTGGAAATAGTGAAACAGACAGGGCGATTGAAGCGCTCACAGTGGTAGAACGAATGAGTGATGTTTTTGATCTCTTGATCAGTAATTAGGCTTCGCGTTGATTAAATTAGCGAGGTCTTGATGCGATGGAAATAGGGGAAGGGGGCGGGGGGCCCGTCTATCGCGGTTCAAACGTTTCGGCCGTAAACGAATAGCCCCCTCGGAAAATTAGTACAGTATCTCCTAATTGTTGATCGATGGGAGGTCTGTTGCCGACGACGTCGCGCAGTTGCCAAATTGTAGTAGCGCATTTGCCCGCACGGAGGAACGTAGCTCCATTCCAAGGTTGCAAAATTGACCCACATAATTTAATTTCACTGGAAAAAAAACACATTGGATCTAGAGTCCAGACTCTTAAAAACATCGACAAGAAAAAATACGCTTGATTCAATCAGATTTAAGCTTAAATCAAGAACCAAGCCTCTTAATTTGAGCGGATTTCCTTTTGATTTAAGCTTAAATCAGATTGAAACAAGAATCCTTTTTCTTGTCAATGTTTTCAAGAGTCCGGACTCTAGATCCAATGTGGTTTTTTTACCAGTGTTTTTACAAGAATGTACCTGTGCCATTTTTTCTTCCGTGGCTGCCTGGTCCTCCCGAAATTTATCCAATTTTTGAATTAGATTAGAGGAATAATCAGTGAAATTTTCTATTCGAAATGCCCAAGATTGGTGAAAATACAAATACGAGGGCAAATTTGGCAGCATCGAAATGCAGTTACGTTCTTTCGTGACAGGGACGACGATTTATCGAATCACCTATCTGGAACTAATGGCTCCGAATGGATTGCAATTTGCACTTAGGAACTACTATTTTCAACTAATCCATACAAGCACCTACCAAGCGTGGAGGAACTAACGGCACTCGACGGTTTAATTCCAAAACCACGTATCTCGTGTGCGGTGTTAAAAAATCTCAGCTCCTATTTTAATTTTTCAAGAAAAATAAATTAACATCAATCCCTCATAAATTCAATAATCCTCTACAGAGGCTGAAAAAAAATTCTCGGCGTTTTTGCCAAGGTCCGTTGGTACCTTTACCATCTCACTTTTTTTACCAATTATTGGTAATTTTACCAAGACATAGGTAAGCGTGCCTAAAAACCGGTATTTTTACTGTTTTTTTTTCAGGCAAGAATACCTATTTTATTGGTAATCAATTCCCGGTAACTTTGCCATTTTATCTCGGTAATTCTACCACAGTCGATAAAAAATATTGGCGTTTTTACCGGGGATCAGTAAAATTACCGAGAGAGTCAATAATTTTACCGAGATTTCTCGGTAAAATTACCAATTCCATAAACGGCAATTTTACCAAGAAAAAACCGGGATCAAATAGAACCCTGAATTCTTGGTAATTTTACCCTTTTCTTGGTAAATACACCGAGATTTTTTTTTTCAGTGAAGGTTGACCTATTTTAAGTCAGTTTTGGTGAAGTTTTCGGTTGTTCTTTTTGAGCTTCGCCTCCATTTGATCACATTTTGCAATGAGGAACCACTATTTCTGGCCCATTTTAGAAACAACATACATGCCGTTGGTTTCCCAATGTAGGTATGTGCTTTGTGAGAGAGCGAGAGATACTGGCGCCTTATTGCAAAATATAATCCAATTCAGACCGTCACTCTACCGGTCCATTCCGCGGGAACTCCTCGCTTATCGGCGACTGCGATCGCAACGACACGAGTTAATAACAAGTGGGTGCCGTTATCGGCGCGAGCTTCGAGGAAAGCTCACTCTAAGGACGGGGGGAGGGGGACGGGAAAGTTCCGGGGACCGACGACGCGACTCGACGCGACGGTGGGACGGGTTTTTACGAGCGACCGTAAAAAAATTAACCCCGATCCCGATTCGTCGCTCCTCCGATCCGACGAAAGGGCGTATCTCGGTTTCCACGTGAGCCGTGCTCTCCGTATAACTCCATGCTTTCCGGGGCTCTTGCGGAAATGGAGATACGCCCTTTCGTCAGCAGAACGACGTATTGCGAACCTGAGCGCTGGGAAACGTTGAACCTCAGCGCACCCCTGGTAAAAATTGGCGCACAGTGAATCGCGTCAATGGAAGAGGTCGGACATGAAATTTTTGACAAAAATTGTAAAATTTTACGTTTATCCCATCACAATTTTAATTATAATGGGTGCTTTTTTGAGAAAATTTTACGAGGAAACCAATGAAACTACCTTCAAAACGTCAAAGTTTCATATTAATGAAGATATACGCTTTTGAAGTTTTTTAATCATGTCCGACCTTTCCAATAGACTCGACCCACGGTGTGGCGGTAGAATCTGTGTTCCAAAATACCATAGACCTACGGCCGGCTGTAAGATTTCCAATAGCTTCTATAGCCGGCAACACAATTTCTTATAGCCTTTTATAGCCGATGGCGATTAAGCAACAGCTTGGCGATAAAGTGCATGCTAAACGTT